TCAGGAATCTTTAATCTGTAGTGGTCTTTAAGACATTTATTCTGCTTCGTTTACGTGTGCTTCTGCGAAGTGCAGTAATACGAATCGGCATTTGTATATGACGTGTCATCTTTCCAAGTCATGTCCGTTCTGAGTAACATCCAAATGAGCTGTATTTACTGAGTTGGTAAGAGAAAAACATCGTCGGTGAGATAACGGTAATAGCTGTAGAAAGCACCTCTCTGTTATTAAATATACAAGCCACAAGTTTATCCTACACATGGTCAAAATCATGTGTAGTTTTTTACTTGTATAGATTTCGACAAGGGATTCCAATAATAATAAAGAGGTTTTTCTAGATTTTATCATCCTACATCTAATAAAGAAAACAAGCAAATTATGTTTCACCTTTGAAGTTATTTGCGATTTAGTATCTATTAATTGGTACGGAACTGCAAGCAAAATCTCGTTTTATCGACTGATCAAGGTAAGTAATCGAACAGAGCAGACAATTTTGTATATAACCCAGTAAAAGTAGATTATAACTTACCATTCATTTCTCGCATGGCACGTGTGAAATCTCCAGGATCAGAAAAGCTAACGAAACCATAACCACGAGATTTACTGGTACGTTTGTCTCGAACAACTTTTGCTTTTTGAAAAGAAGGGTAGCGGTTGAATGCTCGTGCTAGAGTGTCATCTGTCACTTCATTCCCCAAATCCCCACAAAATAATCGGAAGTCATCTGGAAGCCAAATGAAGAAAAAATTTATTCGCTAGATGACAAGCCGTCCTACAAATTGCTAATTTTTTTTATCTCAGCTAGGTAGTGGATTTTAGACTCATTCGTTCATCTTTTCATTTTCTAGAGCGTATATCTGTTTACTATATCAGGACAAGAAAGCTAGTCTGATTGTTTTAACTTCACAACTATGTATTTAACGTTGTTCATTTTACATACAATTCGACGTTCTAAAATACTTCAATTTGTATTATTATTCTTACTTTTATTTAAAAAAATATCGTTAGTAGTAGACAGGCTGGATCTTTTTAAACCAAACCTCAACTAATAACAAGGTGCATGTACACACTCATTCTTTTTTACCTTGTGAACTTGTGGTGTTTACTAAATGATGATTCGTTTATACTTGACTGTGCGCTAATAACGAATCCCAAATACAATACGTTCATTTGTGCTCACCTAGTTCTACCTGCCTTAAATTGCACTATTTCGGAAATTCTTAGCACAATAATTCTAATACTTCTAACTGTTCACATTACTCACATCTTATTGACACAGATCTTCTATTCACTAAAATCAACATCTGAACATTATTTGATAAAATATTAGTATAGATTTAGTTGCAGGATGCCATAAATTTTTTCAATCGCTGAGATTATTACTAAAAAGATTTTTACGAATAACATTTACCATAACTCCGCCTGCAGCTCTTCCAGAGTTACTGCCCGTCCCGAGCCCGGGTGAAGGAGGAGGGTTGGACATGGGGTTAGCGACCCCATCCCATAGAAAACTAACTCGCTAAAAAAACCCTAACCAGAAAAAATAATTCAAACCATTTAAACTCTGCCCTGGGAGTTAGAAGGTTATTCATTTAGAAGATCTATGACGCCTCATAGCGAAAGCCGGGTTCCTTCGGAAGCCACGAGGCCGATACCTCTTCTAACAACCAGAGCAACAATTTTTATAGGTACATGGAACGTCCGAACAATGTGGGAGACCGGGAAAACCAGCAACGGAAATGAGGAGATACAACTTGGCAGTACTGGGAATCAGCGAAACCCATTGGACAACAAAGGCTAAATACGGGAGAGATGCTGCTATACTCCGGCCACGAAGAGGAAAATGCTCCACACACTCAGGGAGTTGTTCTAATGCTGTCCAAAGTAGCACGAAATGCACTTGTAGGATGGGAATCTCACGGATCCAGAATCATCAAAGCATCATTCAAAACAAAGAAGGAGGGGATTTTAATGAATATTATCCAATGTTATGCACCCACAAATGATAGCAACGACGACATTAAAGATCAACTCTACGAAAGGCTGCAGTCAATAATAGAGAAATGCCCAAGAAAGGACCTAACTATTCTGATGGGAGGTCTAAATGCCAAAGTCGGAATAGACAACACCGGATATGAAGATATTATGGGACGACATCGACTGGGAGAAAGAAACAAAAATGGAGAAAGATTTGCAAATCTATGTGCATTCAACAAATTGGTCATAGGCGGCACAATATTTCCACACAAGCGTATACACAAGGCTACATGGATTTCACCGGACCACACTACAGAGATGCAGATAGATCATATTTGCATCAACAAAAAATTCCGAAGGACAATGGAAGATGTAAGAACCAAGAGAGGAGCTGACATCATTTAGTAAACACCACAAGTTCACAAGGTAAAAAAGAATGAGTGTGTACATGCACCTTGTTATTAGTTGAGGTTTGGTTTAAAAAGATCCAGCCTGTCTACTACTAACGATATTTTTTTAAATAAAAGTAAGAATAATAATACAAATTGAAGTATTTTAGAACGTCGAATTGTATGTAAAATGAACAACGTTAAATACATAGTTGTGAAGTTAAAACAATCAGACTAGCTTTCTTGTCCTGATATAGTAAACAGATATACGCTCTAGAAAATGAAAAGATGAACGAATGAGTCTAAAATCCACTACCTAGCTGAGATAAAAAAAATTAGCAATTTGTAGGACGGCTTGTCATCTAGCGAATAAATTTTTTCTTCATTTGGCTTCCAGATGACTTCCGATTATTTTGTGGGGATTTGGGGAATGAAGTGACAGATGACACTCTAGCACGAGCATTCAACCGCTACCCTTCTTTTCAAAAAGCAAAAGTTGTTCGAGACAAACGTACCAGTAAATCTCGTGGTTATGGTTTCGTTAGCTTTTCTGATCCTGGAGATTTCACACGTGCCATGCGAGAAATGAATGGTAAGTTATAATCTACTTTTACTGGGTTATATACAAAATTGTCTGCTCTGTTCGATTACTTACCTTGATCAGTCGATAAAACGAGATTTTGCTTGCAGTTCCGTACCAATTAATAGATACTAAATCGCAAATAACTTCAAAGGTGAAACATAATTTGCTTGTTTTCTTTATTAGATGTAGGATGATAAAATCTAGAAAAACCTCTTTATTATTGGAATCCCTTGTCGAAATCTATACAAGTAAAAAACTACACATGATTTTGACCATGTGTAGGATAAACTTGTGGCTTGTATATTTAATAACAGAGAGGTGCTTTCTACAGCTATTACCGTTAAATTAAAGAGAAAAACTAATAGGAAAATAAAATAATACCACGTGAAAAAAGTTACAACCTTCAAAAGCGCGCCTTAGGCGTTCAGTACAGTATATTTAATATGAATAAAAGGTATATGTTAACACTCATTACTGACCACGCCTGAAAGGCCGAGCCATGCCATTCGATGGATTCGAACTAATTAAATTCATTGTTCCCGCAATCCCCATCGTTGGATTTTTCTCCGCCTTAAATGTTGATTATGCATTTTCCCAGTTGTATCATGTTCATCTTTAAGGATTGTGTAGTTAGGGCCCAATGCCACTACAGACGTACACTTAATGAAAACATCAACCGTTCTATAGCTGGATCTTAGTATGAGGATTTAGTGGCCCGTAAATATGACTCCATTTAGATCGTATGAATATTAGTTATCACCCATCCTCGTATATAATCATCGAATTTAATCGCATTAGTCAATGACGGATTTAGATAAGTTAAATAACGAGAATGGACTTTCGTATACATATATTTTGTATGTAAAGTGAATGCGATAGAACAAAGCGAAATGACGCGCAGGCGAGATGGCTGGTAAGCCAACTCATTTTTAGACAGGCATTACTCAGTATTTATAGGCAAACAAAACAAACTACAGACATGTGATGAGACATGGGATATGAAATGTACACACATATACGCTCATATAAAAACAGTCAAGACTGATAAGCGAATAATTAACAAGGTCAAAATATGACTCAAGTAGAATGAATAGATTGGGCTGTCCGAAAACTAAAATAAGATATATTATGGGCTTTAAATTATGACTGACACTGTAAGAATACAAATAAGTCTTACTGATAAAAATACACAAAAAATTTAAAGTAAACCTTCTCACCATAATGTAACAGCGCAAGGAGTTATGGGATAGTCCGAAGTTCGCTATTTTGACAAGACCCTTGTCATTCATTAACAGGTTGGAGACTTTTAAGTCTCTGTGGATTATAAAGTTCTCATGATGCATTTAACTTATGGTTCACATTCAGATAAACAAAGCATATAAGCAGGCCAGAGAAGGTAAACATGCCAAATTGCTACAATACTCATTACAAGCGTCAATATAGCTAAAAATAGATAGTGTGTAGCTCAGCAAAGCGACACACTATATGAAATAACAACTGACAGACAAACATACACAAAGCACATAGATGGAGATACATAAGGTCGTAAAAATAAGGTGTGTGTATGTAATGGCCACGGTGTGCTTTGAAAACAAGTGATAGTGAAAATGACGCGAAGTCAGATGCTGTTCGATTTATCAAGGTCTGTTCAAAAGCTATGATTAATCATTTAAGTGTGTATTAGCACTCGACTCTACAAGACCAAAAACCAAGACCACACAAAGTACCGGTGTCATACAGGTTCACCAACAGAGTAATCAACTCTTGTAGCTTACTACTGGAAGAAATGGTGTTCGTAATTTCAAGTGATTCTTTCAAGATATCTCTAGCTACGCAGTGAAGTTGAACAGAAAAGGACTACCAAAGACAATTGCCCTATGTCCTTTGTGCACATATATGAATCTATCGTTATGGCGGGACAGTCAAGCTGAACGTTTAGGCAGTTAAAAGTTAATTGAGTTGGGAAAATACACGCATCTCACCTGGGATTTACTCCAACAGCAATTCCAGCCAACTGTTTAAGTTGTTTATCACACGGTTCTTTAAAGAAAATGACTGATGGCAATGAGAAACTTAAACAAATGGAGGAGGAGATGGATAGGTATCCAGTGCGCAACAGCTTAATTTGTTTTTGAATGTAGATTCGAGGCTGAGATTGCTCACCAGTCGTCAGGCAAGACACCAAATAATATTCCAATCTCTGGCGGATTTACATTCCCTCCTGTTACTAGCTTTATGCCTCCCCAGTTACGTGTGCATCAAAACCCGACCAACGTCGTGCAGCCAGTTTATTCGGGTAATCACAATTTTTAATATAAAGTGTTATTTGACAAAATTACAACCATAAAATTAGTAGCAAAAGGAGAGTACTTTTTCATAGTGGCATTTTGCTGTACATGAAAGGGAATTTGTAACGTCCAACAGTTTACAAGAGCAAGCCATTGAAAACGCTTCATTCCTAATGAATGCATTATTTCACTGACTACGGACTGCCTAATTGGTAAAGTTAACACAAAAGGTGGCTATATACCTGTATCATTGTAGGTAATGGAAATAAATTTGATCGTCTTTTTACACGGCAACAAGGATAAAAGTCTGAATGAAATATTTTAGCACACTTCGACGCCCGGTGATCTATTGTAACAAATCAATGCGTTTGAATCCCTGGTGCATAAAACCAGGGAGTTTATGCAGGAATTAAAAAACATGATGTCAAACGTGTTCTACCGAATTGAAAGCAGATTTCTCTGGAAGCTTCTAAAAGTTACCCAATTTTTTTCAGCACTTGCAGAAGCTTTAATTCATGTACTTAAACACACATTGGTACAAGAAGGCACCAAATACATATGCGCCGCACAAGTCACTCGACTTGTTCGCTCAGGATCTTAGAGCCCATGTGCACCACTGGTTTGGAATCATGGTTTTCTAACTCTCCTAGGTGGTTTCTCCGTATCCACCAACCCGGTTAGAGCGTCGGACATTCGCTTTTTGTCCTATCAATTTCGCAAACATTACCCTTGCCTTGAGAAGGGAGTGAGTAGGACTTCCCTATCAGGGGTTGTATATGCGTAGCCATGTGTGAGCATCTCGAGAGGGATAGTTGACTCTAAGCACCCTCGGACGTACCAGGGCATTTGGGAGAAGTCGTGTCTGGAGTAATCTATGGGCTTAGTAACAGGTTTGTTATCGTTTATTAAGCAAACCACCTAAATTAGCAGTTCAGATTGCTTGCCAAACCAACAACTTTGACCCTTATTCTCCGTACTCTTGGTAGTATAATATTTAATTTTACTGTTGATGAATTTGTTGAATAAGTACTTATGATGAATGTTGGTGATGAGTGTTGATGATTTTTGTAAAGAAAAGGTGAGATTCCATAATTGGTGGTTAAGTAAAAGATAATAACCAGTCTGAGAATAAAAGCCTTGAGTAATAAACATTTAACTCAGGTGTTATTGTTTGGTTCGCTCTTGTCGATCAATGTTAGCGGTCGGTATGTATTAATGTAACTGAAGAAATCACGATCTTCACATAAACGCAACTTTTAAAGCACCTTTATAAGTCATGAGGTTATTGGAAAAACATCTTTCAACTGTTAAATTATAAGTTGGAACTCTGTCGTACTTCATTTTGGATTACCTGCTGGTGTCAACAGCCCTCACAACGAAGGTGTGGCTCAAAGCCAAGTGCTGAAAGTTCCCAATCTACAATTTTGTGACGCAATTTTTTTATAAGATGCAGGTTTATGTACTTGGATTTGAAGGATAATCTGCTTGTTTTAGGGTGATGATTCCTTTCAGTCGCCCAAGGAGATTTAAGTGGGGTGGGAGTCGGTGATGTAAACTTGTAGGTCAAAGGTGTGAATCCTACTTCGAGTGTGCTAACAGAATTCTCTTACGGCATGGTGGTGTACTTGTTGCTCAAATCGCACTTGACCTGTTGGTGAGCAATTAAAATTATGAGACATGCTGTACACCATTGAAATAAAATCTGAATCTGGTAAATTAGAAAGACCTTGCGCATGCATCCAATCTTAGTTATAAGCCATTTGCATCATTAGAAAAGGTCGTATACTGACGATGCAACAAACAAAATCAACCTGTCTAGTGAAATTCCGTTAGACTGGTGCTAATCTATGCCATCTTTTACCTACTTTCCTGAGATAGTGTCTTCGAAGTTTTCTCAAACTGCTTGTAACCTTACTATCAACTAGTAACTGATTTCGTTCTCAAAATTCGATTTTTTCATGCATTGTTGGGATCATTTTTACGAGAGAATATTTACAATGGACGTTATCAATCGTACATTTAAAAATTATATCTCACCGAGTTGTACTTAGCCTGGTTACGATTGTATAAGTGAACTAACTCCTACAATTCATAGTTTCTGTTAGGTGTACTAGTAGTAAAAACTTTATCAGCTCAAGGATATATTTTAGTTTTCTTGAATTTGAACTGTATGAAGCAATATATATATATATATATATATATATATATATATATATATATATATATATATATATATATATATATATATATATATATGAAGTGTCTTATTATCATTTAACATATGTTCTCTCAGCAGCTGCTTAACTTTTTTCTTACAGTCTTACCACTGCCTCCCGGGGTTCCCATGTTTGTCCCCCTTTCACAACCTCCTGTGTCTTGTTACCATATGAATGTCGCCCACACGCAGTTGCCGCCATCAAATCCTGTTTTCATGCCTTCAAAGGCATCTAATATGTCGATCCCAACACAAAAAATGGAAATGTCTTCCGTTTCATCAGTTAACAAAGAGACTGTTAGTGAACATAACCCAACTCAAAAAGTTATAACTGCTCCACCACAAATGGCTGGACCAAACGAGTTGGCGGCACGGGCCAAGCAAGCCGCTGCGGCGGTTGCAGCTGCCAAGTCTAAAGCTGAAGACGAAGACGATGATGTTACTCGAGCATTGCTAGCTGCGGCAGCGGGAGTTACTTATACTCGAGTTCAGGGGCCAGATGGAAAAGGCAAGTTCATCACATATGCTACGTAGACATTTCATTTAATTGTTACTAAATTATAGTGATCATAAGACTTGTAGTTTTATTTTTGGAACTGGTGCTTACAACATACATTGATGTACTTTTCAACCCTCGTTACAGTTGTATGAGAGCAAGTTAGTGTTAATCACAAGCGTTGTCTAAGATATCATAACTCGTAATTTTATGTTTGGCTCTCACAATAAGATCTTTTTTAATCTTTAAATAAACTCTCATTTAATACTATTTCTTGGCATTACAGAAATGAAAATCTATTATCAGATTAAAAATTACTATTGTACAATTAATTACTAGACCCAAAGATAAGCGGATATATTAATATTACTGATAGAATCAAATTCAGTATGTATCATGGGGTTTTTTCCTACATAGTTACTTGACTAGTTTTGATCAGCTAATAATAGAAGTTTCATCTGATGTTGTCATGGCTATGTAGAAAATAAGGTACTTCAAGCAAACATTCTTTATCCAATCGTATAGCTGTTTTTGATCTGATTTAATCTCATTCAAAATATCTTAAATCGAATTTCATCTAAGAAAGGTGCCCACCTTTTGTTCACTCAGTGTAATACCTTATCTTTAACATGAATAAAGACCAGATCTAGACCCAACTCACCATGCAGAGAATTCCATACTGTCATACGTCACACTTATCTGATCATTTTTAGTCTTGTAATTTATTAAATCATATTCATGCTCGACTTTAATGTATGCGTTCATATGTAGACTATCTGTCTTAAAGTTAACAAGCGGGTCTTCCAAGTATCGACGATGGTTGAACAGGTTAAGGTCACTAACGTTTTGTGTTGTTCTCATATATCACGACCAAATTCTTAAAACGGTCGTTGCTGTAAACTACTTTGCTCATTTTATCAGTGGAATTTCGTAAATTCTCGCGAAATGCTGCATGACGAAAATGCCGATTTTCAGTTTCAAGAAAAGCATCCTAATTTCATACTACAATTACTTCCTAAAACCTGCAGCAATATTAATTGTAAACTTAAATTTTTTCGGAAACGACTAAAATCTAACATATCCTTATATGGAACAAGTAGAATAATTATGCTGTAGACAAATAATGTACCTTAGTTCATTGACGTTTTCAGAGCTGCATTCTACTGTTGCTCATTAGTATATGTTTGTATCTCATATCTAACATTTTCTAGAAAAGGTTTTAGCAAGTATCACTAAACCTCCGCTAACACCAGTCGTTACACAATCAAGTAAAAAATCAAAGCTAACCGATCTCAATACAGATACGGAAGTGAACAAAGTAACACAAACAACAATATTACCACCGGTACCGCCTACAATTTATCGTTCTGCTAGTACAACCACAAATGATCAAGTCTATAAAAAGAAAAAGTACATTCGCACAGCTGCTGGAGCCACTTGGGAAGATCCGACTTTGGTTGAATGGGATCCAAGTAAGGTGCTTATTTTATTTACCTAACTTGTAGTATACGCATTTTATTGTTTTTTGTACTCGTCAGCTCAATTTATGCAAACAGGAGTGTTTGTAGCTACATGTTTATTAAATAGTTTAATCTCCACAAGGTATGTAGATAAAAACTAGTCTTATTTATCAGAATGGCTTATTTACTCAAGATAGAATTGGATTGATATAAGTCAAACATAATGCATGTACTGTAGGCAAGCAATGTAAAGTTACAAGTTGTAAGTCAAGTATTTTAGGGCAAACAGTCAACAAAATGTAGAATTGTAGGTAGATTTGACTAACAGTGATTCCATTCAGTGTGATGGTGTGGACAACTTTTCCTATTGGGATGTGGATGGAACGGTAACCGTGTGAATCTTTAGTGATAATGTATTCTTCGAATTATGTAAAACCCATAGAATGTTTTTGTTGAAATCATCCACGTAAGCTACGAATATTTCACATAATCTCACAGTAGAACGTATAAGTCTACCAAAAAAACTATCTAAAGAAGTTTTATTTGTTCGTTGTGTGACTAGATTTGATCAGTAATTGAGTACCGAGCTTATGAAAGATATTACTCCCTTACGCCTGTTACTCATGAAGGAGCATAGGCCGCTCACCAGCACTCTCCATCCAACCCTGTCCTGGACAATCCTTTCCAGCTCTTTCCAGTTGTTATTCATCCTTTTCATATCTGCCTCGATTTCCCGACATAATGTGTTCTTTGGCCTTCCTCTTTTCCGCTTCCCTTCAGGATTACAAGTTAGGGCTTGCCTCGTGATGCGGTTTGATGATTTGCGTAATGTATGTCCTATCCATTTCCATCGTCTTTTCCTACTTTCCTTTTTAGCTGGAAGCTGGTGTGTTCTCTTCCATAGAAGGCTGTTGTTGATGGTATCCGGCCAATGGATGTTGAGTATCCTGCGTAGACAGTTATTTATAAATACTTGTACCTTCTTGATGGTGGTTGTTGTAGTTCTCTAAGTTTCAGCTCCGTACAGTAGAACTGCCTTGACGTTGGTATTGAAGATTCTCACTTTGATATTGGTTGAAAGTTGTTTTGAGTTCCATATGTTCTTCAATTGTAGGAATGCGACCCTTGCTTTGCCAATCCTTGCCTTTACGTCTGCATCTGAGCCTCCTTGTTCATCGATATTGCTTCCCAGGTATGTGAAGGATTCTACATCTTCCAGAGTTTTGCCATCAAGAGTGATTGGATTGTTGTTCTTCGTTTTGAATTTGAGGACCTTGGTTTTCCCCTTGTGTGTGTTGAGGCCTACTGATGCAGAGACTGCCGCTACACAGACTGTCTTTATCTGCATTTGTTCGTGTGTATGCGATAGGAGTGCTAGGTAATCTGTGAAGTCCAAACCGTCTAATTGGTTCTGAGCTGTCCATTGCATGCTGTGTTTTCCCTCAGATGTCGAGGTCTTCATAATCCAGTCGACCACCAGAAGAAAGAGGAATAAAGAGAGTAGACAGCCTTGTCTGACTCCCGTCCTTACTTGGAATGCATCTGTCAGCTGTCCTCCATGCACTGTGGTCCGTCGTATGAGTTCCGGATAATGTTGACAATCTTTCCAGGAACTCCGTAGTGTCGAAGAAGTTTCCATAACGTCCTCCTATCCACACTGTCGAATGCCTTTTCAGAACCAATGAAGTTGATGTATAGTGATGAGTTCCACTCAACTGATTGTTCGACGATGATCCGTAGTGTTGCAATTTGGTCTGTGCATGATCGATCCTTACGGAATCCAGCTCGTTGATCGCAAAGTTGGGCGTCTACTGAATCTTTCATCCGGTTCAGCAACACTCTGTTAAAGACTTTCTATGGTACTGACAGTAGTGTAATGCCTCTGTAGATTTCACATTTGCTCAGATCTCCTTTCTTTGGAATCTTGATGTGTCCTTCTTTCCAGTCTATCAGCACTTGTTCCTTATCCCAAATCTTTTTAAATAGAAGATAAAGCATGTTTGTGGTTACTTCGATGTCTGACTTCAGCTGATATGTTGTCCGGACCCGCTGCTTTCCTGTTCTTGATTTGTCTGACGGCCATTCTGATTTCTTCCTTCGTTGGTGGGTTGACGTCTATGGGAAGATCTGTGTGTGCTGCTTCGATGTCCGGTGGATTCATTGGAGCCGACCTATCCAGGAGTTCGTTGAAGTACTTTACCCATCTGTTCTTCTGTTGTTGAAGTTCAGTGATTGGCTTGCATTTTTTGTCTTTGACCGGTCTCTTTGGTTTACTATATTTGCCTGCTAGTTTCTTCGTTGTATTGTAAAGCTGTTTCATATTTCCTTCTCTTCCAGCTTTTTCCGCCATCGTTACTAGTTCTTCCACGTATTTCTGCTTGTCGGCTCTAGTGCTCTTCTTCACTTGCTTGGTTGCTTCTATGTACTCAACTTGTGCTTGGACTTTTTCTGCTCGTGTTCGGCTGTTATTAATTGCTGCCTTTTTGTTCTTCCTTTCTTTGATCCTGTGCAGTGTTTCTATAGAGATCCTTTCCTTATGATGATGCTTCTTGAGGCCCAGAACCTTCTGATACGTTGAAGTTAATGCTTCTTTGATACTTTTCCAGTTGTCCTCCATAGTAGTTTCTTCTTCTTTCAGTAGATTCTGTAAGGTTTGGAACCTGTTGTTGAGAGCTATCTTGAATTCATTGAGTTTGTCAGTATCTCGAAGGAAGGCTGTATTGAACCTTTGTAGTGCTGATTGTCCGGTTCTTCTTTAGCTTCAGTTTTAAATTGGCCACAACTAGGTGGTGATCTGAAGCTATGTCAGCTCCTCTCTTGGTTCTTACATCTTCCATTGTCCTTCGGAACTTTTTATTGATGCAAATATGATCTATCTGCATCTCTGTGGTGTGGTCCGGTGAGATCCATGTAACTTTATGTATACGTTTTTGTGGAAATACTGTTCCGCCTATGACCAATTTGTTGAATGCGCACAGATTTGCAAATCTTTCCCCATCTTCGTTTCTCTCTTCCAGTCCATGTCGTCCCATGATATCTTCATATCCGGTGTTGTCTATTCCGACTTTGGCGTTTAGATCTCCCATTAGAATGGTGAGGTCCTTTCTTGGGCATTTCTCTATGATTGATTGCAGCCGCTCATAGAGATCGGTCTGTAATGTCGTCGTTGTTATCATTGGTGGGTGCATAACATTGGATAATATTCATTGTGACCCCCTCCTTTGTTTTGAATGATCATTTGATGATTCTGGATCCGTGAGATTCCCATCCTACAAGTGCGTTTTGTGCTACTTTGGACAGCATTAGAACAACTCCCTGAGTGTGTGGAGCATTTTCCTCTTCGTGGCCGGAGTATAGCAGCATCTCTCCCGTATTTAGCCTTTGTTGTCCAATGGGTTTCGCTGATTCCCAGTACTGCCAAGTTGTATCTCCTCATTTCCGTTGCTGGTTTTCCCGGTCTCCCACATTGTTCGGACGTTCCATGTACCTATAAAAATTGTTGCTCTGGTTGTTAGAAGAGGTATCGGCCTCGTGGCTTCCGAAGGAACCCGGCTTTCGCTATGAGGCGTCATAGATCTTCTAAATGAATAACCTTCTAACTCCCAGGGCAGAGTTTAAATGGTTTGAATTATTTTTTCTGGTTAGGGTTTTTTTAGCGAGTTAGTTTTCTATGGGATGGGGTCGCTAACCCCATGTCCAACCCTCCTCCTTCACCCGGGCTCGGGACGGGCAGTAACTCTGGAAGAGCTGCAGGCGGAGTTATGGTAAATGTTATTCGTAAAAATCTTTTTAGTAATAATCTCAGCGATTGAAAAAATTTATGGCATCCTGCAACTAAATCTATACTAATATTTTATCAAATAATGTTCAGATGTTGATTTTAGTGAATAGAAGATCTGTGTCAATAAGATGTGAGTAATGTGAACAGTTAGAAGTATTAGAATTATTGTGCTAAGAATTTCCGAAATAGTGCAATTTAAGGCAGGTAGAACTAGGTGAGCACAAATGAACGTATTGTATTTGGGATTCGTTATTAGCGCACAGTCAAGTATAAACGAATCATCATTTAGTAAACACCACAAGTTCACAAGGTAAAAAAGAATGAGTGTGTACATGCACCTTGTTATTAGTTGAGGTTTGGTTTAAAAAGATCCAGCCTGTCTACTACTAACGATATTTTTTTAAATAAAAGTAAGAATAATAATACAAATTGAAGTATTTTAGAACGTCGAATTGTATGTAAAATGAACAACGTTAAATACATAGTTGTGAAGTTAAAACAATCAGACTAGCTTTCTTGTCCTGATATAGTAAACAGATATACGCTCTAGAAAATGAAAAGATGAACGAATGAGTCTAAAATCCACTACCTAGCTGAGATAAAAAAAATTAGCAATTTGTAGGACGGCTTGTCATCTAGCGAATAAATTTTTTCTTCATTTGGCTTCCAGATGACTTCCGATTATTTTGTGGGGATTTGGGGAATGAAGTGACAGATGACACTCTAGCACGAGCATTCAACCGCTACCCTTCTTTTCAAAAAGCAAAAGTTGTTCGAGACAAACGTACCAGTAAATCTCGTGGTTATGGTTTCGTTAGCTTTTCTGATCCTGGAGATTTCACACGTGCCATGCGAGAAATGAATGGTAAGTTATAATCTACTTTTACTGGGTTATATACAAAATTGTCTGCTCTGTTCGATTACTTACCTTGATCAGTCGATAAAACGAGATTTTGCTTGCAGTTCCGTACCAATTAATAGATACTAAATCGCAAATAACTTCAAAGGTGAAACATAATTTGCTTGTTTTCTTTATTAGATGTAGGATGATAAAATCTAGAAAAACCTCTTTATTATTGGAATCCCTTGTCGAAATCTATACAAGTAAAAAACTACACATGATTTTGACCATGTGTAGGATAAACTTGTGGCTTGTATATTTAATAACAGAGAGGTGCTTTCTACAGCTATTACCGTTATCTCACCGACGATGTTTTTCTCTTACCAACTCAGTAAATACAGCTCATTTGGATGTTACTCAGAACGGACATGACTTGGAAAGATGACACGTCATATACAAATGCCGATTCGTATTACTGCACTTCGCAGAAGCACACGTAAACGAAGCAGAATAAATGTCTTAAAGACCACTACAGATTAAAGATTCCTGATATATAGACAAGAGGATACACCTGGGTCCTTGTGATGTATTTCAGCCAGTCTCCTAACGCCAATAGTGATAGTGAAATAACCTGTGCTGAGAATCCTATATTGTACCAAAATATAATATCGAATAAAGTCATTAGTAATAATAATAAAGCAAATCGGACTTTTATCCCAAAACATTACTTATGAAATTTCAATGAGAGTAACCAGACTTTTAATACTCTTCCATCAAAACCAATTTATCAAACTCCAATTTTATTTTCGATAGGAATTACAGAATGTGATGATTGTAGAAAAGACTGGATAAAAAGATATTGGCTGTGCTTGTGGAATATAAGCTATACGACAGTAACTGAAGGAACTCACATTATTTGTCACTACACGAATTCAATCAGTCATAAATAACGTAAGAACTGTGGCGCATGCCCACCACTCCCAAAGTACTAGACGACATTAGTACAAAACCATACAAATTACTCCATCTGAAGAATAAGCATTTATTTTATTTTGACACATAAATATTGGTACAAAGAAGTACCAGATAATATGCGCCACACAATTATAGTGAGAATGTGAGGAGATAAAGAGTGAGAGGTGCGCATAAGAACAAAGAAGTGCAACAATGAACAGAAATTAGTGTATGATAGTGAAATACAGATAATGAGAGAGGAAGTTCAGCCACAGCGAATTCTTCCACATAAGGTAGTTACGTCCTTTTTTATATGAAGAAAGTAAAAGAAGATTTCAACAGAATCGTCACTGGCTTCTATTCTGAATCATGTCTGATGACATCTAAAGCTACTGTGTTGCACCATCTCCAGGACCCCAACCAGGGAGTTGTGAAGGACCAACAGAAGCCGGTCCTGTACAGCTTTCTTACATACCACTACACCATGTCATATACGGATCACATCTCCGCTTCCTCCAACCAGCCCCAGCGTCGGCAAATAATGCAAGACATGGAATCCTCCGGGACGACATTCGTAAAACATGTTCAAGCCACCGAAGTCGGCGTTTCAAGATAGTGACACTGATTGAACTATCGTCACTGTGCCCGAACGCACGATTTTCCCACGACGTGACCAATGCTTCAGAGACAACGATGATCAAACACCGATTCTTCTAAAATTCTCAACTCGGAGAGACCATGTTTTACAAGCACAGAGCAGAACTGCTCTCTCCAACGCGTTGTAGATCCGACCTTTTACAGCCAAACTAACATCACGAAGGCGCCAAGGATGTCCCAGATTGGCATAAACCGATCTGGCTTTCACTATATGTGCGTTGATGTCATCACTCACGCCACCACCAGCACTTATGCGGCTACCTAGATACACTAACTTCTCGATTACTTCTATCTGATCACTACACGGCGAGTGCCAATTTTGTGGAAGTACTTTGCACTTCGAAGGTGCAAAGCATATACCGTATCTACGGACACTAATAGCGGATTGCATGGCTTGGGCATTATCGCACAGTAAGACAATATCATCAGCATATTTAGGTCGAGAAGTTTTTCTGCAAACAATGGATCCACTCCGCCGCTACCCACATTCATCAGAGCTGTTTCCAGAACGTTATCGACAGAAAAGTTGAAGGGGACGACGAGATTGAGCAAGTTAGCCTAACTTCACCAAATGAATGAAGCAACGATTGTAGAGTTTTCAAAGTATCAAATAAGTTCTCACGAGCGGAAACGGTATATACTCTTTGCTTGTACGATACTCTCGAAAAACACTCCGATCTGCTACGCCAACATAAACACCTTACAGTTAGATGATTAGTATGTAGAGGCAGATATGTTATCACATTTGCAAAGCTTGCAATGAAACGGGACTTTAACCAAGTAAATATGTTTCTCGCACAACTTCGTAGCAACTGGGTTACAGTTGTCAATATACCTTTTTTTCTAGTAGTGAGTGGGATGAAAATACCCAGGTTTCACACATTGTTCTTTAGTTATGTACAGATTCTTCTAAATATCCATTTTATTTGAGCGGAAACTATGAGTCAATGTGTTTTACAGTTTCTATGTCAGTTAATACTACTTTTGATGATTGTGAGGTACACTTCTGAACAAAACGCATATGTAGGCTTCGTTTTAGTCCTAATTCTCGCTTTGCTCATGAGATAGCATGGAACCTTTTGTTATGAAAATTTTTTCGACTGATTGTTTGCGATAATTATGTCAATAAGACAGCAAAGTTCTTGAAGTACGCCTGTAAGCAAAATCACAATATGAGTTGTTAGAAACTTGCAACCATATAAAAGTTTGAAGCAACATCTTATTTTTCTGATAAAGACATGCTGTCAATATCTGATAACATTATGGTTCCTGAAACCTGTTTTTTAGGTAAATATGTTGGTAATCGTCCAATCAAACTGAAAAAAAGCGAGTGGCGTAATCGTCAACTAGAAGTCCATAGAAAAAAGGAGAAAGAAAAACGAAAACTTGGTTTGAAAAACTGATATTTTTAACCGAAGTCTATTAAATTTATCCTGTGAATATTTTCCTACTTTTGAAATACAAAGCCTCAAGATAATCATAGCATTTCCCAATATTATTTCTATACTTGTTGGAATTGAAACCTTCAACAAATTGTTGTCCTTTTTATGGTGATGGAATTTACTAGACCAGACGAGTTTTGTTATACGTTATACTCTGAGGCATTAGAGATTAGAACTTCATAATCGAGAGACATGTAGGTTGTTTCTACTCAAACAGTTTATGATGGTGTTTGCGGTGATAGGACCAACTCTTCGATGACGAGCATAAATTTATAACTGCTAGTTGGTGCTCATATTTACTTTTCTATCAGAGCAAACATGTGTAGTTTATCATCACGGCCATTAAAATAAGTGGTAGTAGAAAGCGTTCTATGTTTCAGCACGTAACCACTACAACGTTTCGATGATTTGTTTATTTATTAAATAAACACAAACATTGGTACAAGGCACCAAATACATATGTGCCACATAAGTCATTCGACTTGTGTGAAGATTGGGATACTGCCCGAACGCCCAAACTGAAACAGGTGGTTTTCTTAGGGGCTGCACCCCGAGCCTTTGACATACAGGTCTAATCCACAAGACAGTGGAGCAACGTTGGGAGGTGCAGTCCCATGGTAGCCCTTGACCAACAATAGGGTCATACGCCATTTGTTCGCTCAGGAACCTAGAGCCCATGTGCACCACTGGTTTGGAACCATGGTTTCCCAACTCCCCTAGGTGGATCCTCCGTATCCACCGACCCGGTTAGAGCATCGGACATTCGCTTTTTGACCTCTCAATTTCGTAAACATTACCCTTGTCCTGAAAAGGAAGTGAGTAGGACTTCCTTGCCAGTGGCTGTATGCGCGTGGTCATGTGAGAGCATCTCGAGAGGGATGGTTGACTCTAAACACATTCGGCCGGACTAGGGCTTTTGGGGGCCAAGCGACACTCAACGGGGATGATGATAACAATAATCAACTATGATTCAAGATCAGCATCCTATCTACTTCGTACTTACAAACAAGTTGGAACGTTAGATGCTCAATTTCAGGAAGCGTGTAGTTTACACTTAGTGTGGCTCTTTAGAGTGTACTTGAGGAACTTTTGATGAGTATATTCTACTTATTAGTTGTTATATTATGTAGGATGGTGGAAAATTATATATAGAGAGGATGTACTACCACGATCTCGCTTCACTAGCTGCGTATCATTTACCAAGTACCTAGAAATTCTCCACCCTCTAATCTATACAGCTGCTTCATTCGCAAGTAATTATTGCGTAAGCATCTGCAAAATTCCAAGGGATTTCGCATAATGTTCTGAACATTTTTCCAGTAATGAATTCAGAAAAACTTAGCATCTATCTTGATATGGCATACGAGAAAATCAATGCAAAATTACTGTGCCTTTTGGAACCAGCTTATATGGGAGCACAGACTACTTCAAAAGCGACTATTGTTCATAAATTTCATAAGAAAACGCATCGATTTAAGATGGTGTAACCTCACATGCAGAAAACTAATAAACTAAGTAACGTCGTAGTTTAACAATCCAAAAGTGAATAGAGTAAAGTGACACGAAATATCTCAAGGTACTTGTGAAGTTGGTGTTTACATTTAGTTCGTTTCCAACCACATCAGTGCAGCCTTCAGTCACTTTTATATAATTGCAACCACAAAACTAAACAGCAGTATGTGGTTTCATAAATCTGTACCATATATGTTTTCCCTGTCACTTTTACAGTCTAATTATATGTAATTTAGTGTAACAGTTGGCTAACTCAATCTAAAAACGGACTTGACGCGCGAAAAAACAGTAATCAGCTACGAACTTAGAAATTTAATTAAAAATCAATAAGGTTCTTTAATCTGTTTTTAGTCGCTTTTTGTTAGCAATTTGCAATCGTTTCGATTGAATTATTAAACTGTTGACCTGTAAAACAAGGAGTAGCTAATGTGAAAAGTAAATAGGAATAAGTGAACTTACAACAATTAGTAGACTGTTTAAAATAACAGGAATGTTCCAAATACAAGATATGAAATATCCATAACTATCAAAATATTGCTCAGTAGCGAACAAGCTAGAAAGGTTAAAATACTTGTAAATGATTGTTACTTCCAGTTATTAGCAGCGAATTCATTAATCCGGTGTGAAAACCAAACAGTACCAACTATGTTATGAACAATTATACATGAAACCTTACGGGAAATAAGCAAAATACACAGCAACAAATTTGTACACTTGCGGAAAGCAATTACACATATGGATGTGAGGAAATGAAATCCAATTAGTGAAAGTAACCACAGTTCACTGGTCCATGGTATCTAAGTAGAAAATCATAATATGAAATTTACAGACCGATAATATAGTACCATAGATAGTATTTACAGTAGGGTTGGTTGTAATGTCGAGGAATTGAAAACTGAAGTTCATCTGTTATAATTGGACAGAACCCTTAGATCTGCAAATGTCTAAAGATTGGGGATAATGTAAACGGTGAGAATCATAATTCAGTAATTACATTCACGTGTCAAAAATTTGTACAAGAAGATAAGTTAAAATAACCATATTGACAGTGGTGGAGAACCGAAAGGGAATAAGTGGTGACAAGTACTATTTAACACTGTTCGAACAACATGGTTTCAGAAAGGGCTTGCCTTGCACAACAAACCTTATAGCAAGGGAATCTTGGATAAAGGCGCTAGACAACGGAAACTCTGGATGTTGTCTACATAGAATTCAGTAAGGTATTTGACAAGGTGCTAACAAATAGACTGCTATTGAAGTTAGAAAATTTTGGTATTGCCGAACCTCTCATAAAATGGTTTAAGGATTTCCTAGTAGGTAGTAGACAGGAAGTAAGAATAAATTCCAAGTGCTCCACCTGAAGATCAGTATTTAGTAGGATACCTCAAGGTTCTGTCCTAGGTCCTTTACTTTTTATACTGTATGTAAATGACCTTCCAAGTATAGTACAGTACGCCGACGATGTAAAAATCTGGCAAGTAATAACCGGAGACGCAGATGCATGCGCACTTCAGGCAGATTTAAATAATGTGATTAACTAGTATAAAGAGTGGTTGATGCCTATCAACGCGGCAAAGTGTGTGCACATGCACTTCGGGGATACATAGGTCAATAGGTACAGCATAGGGGTAGTGTCTGTAACCATGGTCCGGTCTCATAAGGATCTTGATGTGACAGTGAGCCATGATCTTAAAATAACGGCCCATTGACAGGAGGTCGCAGCTGAGGGGTTCAGAACCCTCTGGAATTTAAGACAGACTTTCACCAAGTTAGATACTACCATATTCATCACAGTATACACAACCTTAGTGACGACTAAGTTTGAGAACTGCGTTCAGGCTGCAAGCCCCTGTTTAAAAGGTGACTCGGATATCCTGGAAAACGTGCAGAGGGCAGCTACCCGTGCGATTCCAGAACTCTGGGGTTTGCTTTACAAAGAGCGGATTGAAATGTTAGACCTCTTTAATCTGTCCTATCGCAAATTGAGAGCTGATCTATTTTTGATGTATAGAACACTAAGAAATGATTTTGGACCTAATATATCCTCTTTTTCTTCCCACTAAGCTGGGACATCTCAGAAGACATAACAGGCGAGTAAAAAGCCAAGAACGAACAAAATACCAATGGCATACATGTTTTCACACCAAGTCCGCAATTGTTGGAACCTGTTACCCGAAGCCGTTTTGTCCGCACCTTCGATTGACTAATTCAAGAGAAGATCGTACACTCATAGAAGCATACCAGTAAGGGAATAACATAGGCCGTAGGCCTTGTCTTTACTACACAAATATGAAATATGTGGCTCATATGATAATCTCTTTAGTTAACTCTGCTTAGAATTTTTATACAAAGGAATTAGATCGTTTTATATTTGTTAGTTGCAAGAGATTTATTTATTTATTTGAACACATAAATATTGGTACAAGAGTGCGCCAAATATATATGCGCCACACAAAACAATCAGAATTTGAAGAGTAGGAAAAAAAGTGAGGAGCGTAAAAAATCAAGAACAATAACGAACAGATTAGTGTAAGGTAGCGTAATAATAATGATAATAATAATGGGGGAAACAGAAAGAGTTATTTCAGTCAAACAAGTTACGACCACTTCTTATGAAGAAAGTAAAAGGTCACAACAGAACCGCAACTGGCTTCTATTCTGGGAAATATCTGATAACGTCTTTAGCCACTGTGTAGCACCATCTCTCGGACCCCAGCCAGAGTTGTGAAGGACCAACACAAGCCAGTCCTGTACAGCTTTCTTTCATGCCACGACACCATGTCATACACTGACCACCTTTCCGCTTTTTCCAACCAGTCCCAGTGTTGCAAGAGAACTAGTAGTGGACGAAAAACCATGCAAGAATTTGCAAACTATGCTGAGCATTACAATATGCTTCCTGGGAATAGCTGTTTATTGAAAAAAGTGGAGGGCAAAAAGTCTTAGGTCTTTATATACTGACGCCTCGGTGGATTTTTAGGCTTAGAAATTACATAATGTTTGCGCCACCACTACGCAGGATGAGACAAGCATATCGTTCGCTTCCCTAATTTCACCTGAAAACGGGATGGGTCCCATCCCAGTAAGTCACCTGTAAGATCACGTGAAGTTTATCAGATTTGATAGGTTGTATACAATGATGCAGAACATGATGTCAGCTATTACTGACTTGAGTACAAATGTAAAGCTGCTACTAGCGAAGTTCAGTGAACGCAAACATCCGCATCAATTCGATTGCGGACTATCAAGTCAGCAGTTCCCTTTGTCATCTGAAGAGGAACTGCAGATGCTGAACACCGGTTTGCAGCAGAAAGAAACCAGGGACAGATTTGTAAGTCAACATTAGTTTTATAATTTGTTCGTATTACAGATGGCCATGGTAACGAATTTAGTGGATACTGATCCTAAAACCTCAGTGCGATATGTTTTATCGTACCTCATTACACTTGAGGTTGCCAGTAATTTCACACTACTTGGCTCTTCAAAACGAGCACTTTAGAAATGCCGGTTTTACGACTGCATACGAAGTAACCTATATCTATTATTTAAACTTCAGGTGCACTAACCAATCGCTTTTTGTCATCATCTGTCAACGAAAAAGACCTTGCGAAACTGTATGATATCGCGACACAAGGTTATTCTCACGACGTCAGAGACAAATTGATAAAGCGTAATAAAGGGTAACAAGAACAGGTATGTACTAATTTGAAGTGATAACTTTCCTACTGCTCTATGGTCACAGTCAACAGTGTTAACGAACAGCCCCCAAACGCCCTGGTATGGCCGAGGGCGGAGTGGGCCCGCCCTCCCTCTCGAAATGCTCTCACACGGCCACGCGTGTACAGCCTCTGCCAGGGAAGTCCTACTTACTGCCTTCTCGTGGAGGGGGTGTTGTTTACGAAATTGAGAGGAAGAAAGGCGAATGTCCGGCGCTTTAACCGGATTCCAAACCAATGGTGCACATGGGCTCCAATATCCTGCGGGAACAAGTGGCGTATGAACCAATCGTTGGTCACCAACTACCATGGGACTGCATCTCTTCACGATGCTCTACTGCCTTATGGGTCAGATTTTTAGGTCAAAGGCTCGGGGTGTGGCCCCCTAAGAAAACCACCTGCTTCTGTCTGGGTACCCGGGCAGTATCACAGCCCTCACACAAATCAGATGATTTATGTGGCGCATATCTAAAAATAATGAATCGTTAACGAACATAACCGTAAGTGAAGTTTCAAGTATCTGGCTGTGCCAAAGCATGTCATTCAGATATCGTTGTAACTTAAGCCTTTATTTCCCCTTTATTGGTTGCCTGGGTTCTTTCGTTTTTTTGCACTCCAGAATTCACAGGAGTATTATTTTCATTCTCAATAGCCGAAAATGCGTAGCTAAAGGAAGTAATCCGTGAAATGTTTCACTATGTTTTACTTATTTTTCAATAAACATTATTTTGTAAATGAGCCTACTTTCTTACTTACAGGGGAAACTATATAAGTGTTGAGAGTATGTCTGATTGTCAGTGAACTTGCGATTAAATAAACATGCCTTATTAATAATACATCACATGTTTCTTCTTTTACAGATCTTTTCAAATAACAATGAATTGGCAGTTACAATGAAAATGCATAACCATTGATGCTCAAGCTTCTGCTATAATGTTGTACAAAAATACGCTTGTCCTTTTTAATAAACTTACTTAAACATATACCACTTTTCCTGTGGATTGCAGTTTTAGTGTGGTTTGTTGTGCGGATAAAGGCGAACATAGGAGACCTATGGGATTATGCCAGTGGTTTTAAAAGTTGGGGCAGAAGTAGACAATTCGGCGTGTATTTAGGCGAAAAGTAGACGATCCAGCGAACTTTTAGACGAAAAGTAAATAATTCGACGTATATTTTGGCGAAAAGTAAACAATTCCGCGACATTTGAGCGACAAAAAGGAGGAAATCCGCATTATTTCCCTCAGACAGGCGAGAAAGTAGACATTTTGGCGCGTTCCCCCTTATTTTTCCTTTGTTTGCCTTTATTTCCCCTTTGTTAACAAAGGGGTTGATTGGGCACTACGCAAGATGAGACAAGCATATCGTCCGTTTCCCTAATTTCATTTAAGAACAGGATGAGACCCAAGCAACCAATAAACGAAAAAAAGCGGACGAAACCGTAAACAAACGGGAAAAGTCGGTTTTTTCACCTTACGTCGAGTAACTGGGGGGACTCGTAGACAACGCTCTGCTTTTTGAATATGCCGCGCCTTCAAATGGTTGTGGACGGAACAGAAGAATCCTTCGCTATAGAGCTTCGGCGTCTTGTAGCAGCGGATCACCAATGCCTCCAGGCAGGAACCTAGATATATTGATGATAATAGAGGAAAAAAGAAATTGGCAAATCATAGTAAGATATTATACTTGGTCCACAAGAACGGGTCAAGTTACCTCTTAAAGGAATCCTGGGAAATCACTTGGACTAGCTCAGACGGAATCGAATTCCAGCATTTGACAACTCTTAATGAATAGAAATTGTGTCTTCAGTTTTTAGGTGCTACCCCTTAGGTTTGTGTAGGAGGTAAATTTAAGTAGGTGTTTAAGGGGAGGTTCAGAAGTGTTAGAGATACTGTAAGCCATTAGAAGGTCACCTCTAAGATTCCTATGCTTTAATAGGTAAAGGTTTAGTGATTGAAGGTGCTCTTCATTAGGTTTGAATTTGAATCGTCGGACTGATTTCGTGACTCGCCGTTGGATACGTTCCACTGTCATAATCCTTTTAGAGTGAGGGAGGAAATACTATGTTTTCGTACTCTATATGGGGACGAATAAAACTGTTAGGGATTATGTGTAAAGTTCTTCCTTCAAACTGGCAAAAAATTTGTTTCAATGTTACCAGTGCATGGTATGCCTTTCGCATTTCTGTCACAG